ACAATGGTGTGTTAGTTTCTGCTTTATAACAAAGTGAATCAGTTATACACATACATATGTTCCCATATCTCTTCCCTCTTGCGTCTCCCTCCCTCCCACCCTCCCTATCCCACCCCTCTAGGTGGTCACAAAGCACCGAGCTGATCTCCCTGTGCTATGCGGCTGCTTCCCACTAGCTATCTATTTTACGTTTGGTAGTGTATGTATGTCCATGCCACTCTCTCACTTTGTCACAGCTTACCCTTCCCCCTCCCCATATCCTCAAGTCCATCCTCTAGTAGGTCTGTGTCTTTATTCCTGTCTTACCCCTAGGTTCTTCATGACATTTTTCTTTTTTACTTAAATTCCATATATATGTGTTAGCATACGGTATTTGTTTTTCTCTTTCTGACTTACTTCACTCTGTATGACAGACTCTAGGTCCATCCACCTCACTACAAATAGCTCAATTTCGTTTCTTTTTATGGCTGAGTAATATTCCATTGTATATATGTGCCACATCTTCTTTATCCATTCATCCGATGATGGACACTTAGGTGGTTTCCATCTCCTGGCTATTGTAAATAGAGCTGCAATGAACATTTTGGTACATGACTCTTTTTGAATTATGGTTTTCTCAGGGTATATGCCCAGTAGTGGGATTGCTGGATCATATGGTAGTTCTATTTGCAGTTTTTTAAGGAATCTCCATACTGTTCTCCATAGTGGCTGTATCAATTCACATTCCTATCAGCAGTGCAAGAGGGTTCCCTTTTCTCCACACCCTCTCCAGCATTTATTGTTTCTAGATTTTTTGTTGATGGCCATTCTCACTGGTGTGAGATGATATCTCATTGTAGTTTTGATTTGCATTTCTCTAATGATTTATGATGTTGAGCATTCTCTCATGTGTTTGCACTGAACACATTTTACTGAACTTTTCTCTCCTGGAGAAAGGAACACATTCACCTCCCTCCTCAGCCTGGAGGGAGGGAGCGTTGAAAGCCTATGCAGGGGTTTCTCCAGACTCTGCCTGTATCTTATTCCCTTGTGGATCCTGTATCCTTTCACTATAGTAAATCTTAACCATGAGCACAGCTATATGCAGAGCCCCATGAGTTCTTTTGGCATGCACCCGAATATGTGCCTGGTCTTGGGGATCCCCCAGATATATGCTAGAGCACCAGGGGTCCCCAGAGTGGGCAAAGTATGCCTGGGGACTGAGGCACTTTGGCTCAAGGTCATGAGTATGTGCTGAGGATGCAGAAATACAGAGAGGGAGCTGGAATAAACCTCTCTCTATGAGCTAGAGCCTTTGTCTCAGTCTCATGGTGGATTTTCTCCCTGGCTGTCTGGCCTGATCCATGTGGAGGACTCATTTGCCTACACACAGGACCTATCACACTAACAGTGGGCTGAGCTGCATCCTTCATTGCTGTACCCAAGGGAAAGGAAGGGAAGAAACAAGCATTTGCCACAATGCCTAGACATCAGATCAGAGCTGCCGGAGTCCCATCTTGGGCTTTCTCAGGATAGAATAGCTCACAAGCTGTCCTTGCTCCCCAGCCTCGTGGAAGGAAGAGACGCTAGCTCAGCTTTAACTCTCTCATTCCATCCAGAGTCTCCACCAGCACTGTGGCCCTAGCTTTTTGAAAGGAATCATCTAGAAAAGAATGTGGGGAGCCAATCTCTCTCTTTCTCTCTCTCCTCTATCATTTGTATGTGGTAAGATGGGGGTGGATGGTGTGCAGGGTTGTCAGTGAGGAGGACCCTTGAACTCTCTCTACAGACCCATAGCCCCCCATATTTTCTCCTGCCTTCAGTTAACTCAGTGGGCATAATAGCCAATATCAAGGTCACCTTGAGTGCTGTTGTCCCCCTCAGGAGAGACTGTCTTCCCCAACACCTGCTATTGGTCCGAAGCAAGCTTTGGGGGTGTTACAAGTTAAACTGAGTCATATTAAGATTTTTTTTTAAAGAGTTTAGTTGAGCACAAATCGATTTGAATCATGCAGTACCCAATCTAGCAGGTAGAAGGGGGATCTAAAGAGCTGTGCAAAATGAAAGACTTTTATAGGCAGAAGGGAGTGGAAACAAGGAAGTTACACTAGGCAAAACAAAGAAACAAACAAACAACAAATTGGTTATTGCAAGGTTCCTTTCCTTAGGGGATGGCAGGGGTCTATCAGGCAGATTACCTAACTAGTGCTGATCAGAGATTCCTGATTTGCTGGTTCAAGATTCCATTTTTGGAAGAGCCAAAAGTGTAATTCAGTTAGTCTCGATTTGGTGGATATGGGCTTAGCATAACTCCATTTGGGGTTTGTTGTCTTGTTTATAACAGGGGTTATCTGAGGATATTATTAATGGCCCTCAGATCTTGACCCTAGAAACGTCTGAAATGTATCAAGATAGGATAATTAAATTTAATCTCAAGGTCACGGTAGAAACCAACTCTTCTATCTCCTCTTTTATCAACCTTGCTCAAATTTATAAGTGTTACCATGATGTGTCCTATGGAACAATATAATCCATGTAATACAGAGCCAGCAGTAAAAAATTCTACCCATTTCTAAGTAGTGCTTCTGCTACATTCTATATATTTTGATATGTGGTATTTTTGTTATTGATTAGTTCTAAATGCTTTATAATTTTCTCTGTAATTTCTTTTGTGACCCAAGAGTTATTTAGAGGAATGTTTATTACTAAACATTTCAGGCTTTTCTAATTGTCTTTTTAATTTTGATTTTTAACTTGATTACACTGTGATTAGAGAAAATGATCTGGATGATCCAGTGCTTTGAAAAGCTGAGACTTGCTTTATGCCTGGTCAATTTTTGTAAATGTTCTGTGAGATTTTTAAAATATTGTGAATTCTCTAGTTTTTGAGTACAGAGTCCTCTATATGTCCATTAGATAAGACATGTTGATTGTGTTTAAATCTTATATAGTCTATTTATTTTTGGTTTCCTTGAAATATAAATTACTAAGAGAGAAATGTTAAAATTCTCTCAGTATAGTGTTGGATTTATCTGTTTCTCCTTGCAGTTTAATAGTATTTAGATGTATGGAAGTTTAGAATTATTTTAGTTACCTGGTGACTTGAATTTATCATTATTATCTCTTTTCTAATAATTCTTTTTTGCTTAATATTAACATTTATTTATTCTAGCTTTCTTTTGTTAATATTCCATCCACATTTCCCCTATATTTTTTACTTTCAACTTTTCTACATCCTTGTGTGTCTTGAATAAAGTATATAACTGGATTTTAAAAATGCCTTCTAGGGACTTCCCTGGCTGTCCAGTGGTTAAATCTCCAATCTTCCAATACAGCAGGTGCGGGTTCAATCCCTGGTTGGGAGACTAATATCCCACATGCTGCATGGCACGACCAAAAAAAAAAAAAAAGCCTTCTAATAACACCAGAAGTAGGAACAAAACTTTTTTTTAAAAAATAGCAAAATGGACTTGAACAAAATTTAAAACTTCTGTTCTTCAAAAGAGACCATTAGGGCTTCCCTGGTGGTGCAGTGGTTGAGAGTCCACCTGCCGAGGCAGGGGACACAGGTTTGTGCCCCGGTCCGGGAAGATCCCACATGCCGCGGAGCAGCTGGGCCCGTGAGCCATGGCCGCTGACCCTGTGCGTCCGGAGCCTGTGCTCCGCAACAGGAGAGGCCACGACAGTGAGAGGCCCGCGTACTGCAAAAAAAAAAAAAAAAAAAGAGAGAGAGAGACCATTAAAATCACAGTAAGACAAGCCACAGACTAGGAGAAAGTATTTGCAAAAGAGATATCTGTTCAAGAACTTATGGCCAGAATATAAAATAAACTCATACAACTCAATAAGAAGACAACCTAATTATAATAATAGGCAAAAATGGGCAAGAGTTAGTCATTAGGGAAATGCAAATTAAAACCACAATGAGATACCATTATACACACACTTGACTGGCTAAAATTATAAAGACTGATAATTCCAAAGGTTGGTGAGGATAAGGAGAAACTGGAACCATTGTACATTGCTGGTGGAAATGTAACATGATAGAACTACTTTATAGAAAACAGGTTTTACTAAAGTTAAACATGTACTTACCAAATGACTCAGCATTCCCATTCCTAGGAATCAACCCGAGAGAAATGGAAAGATACGTCCGTGGAAAGACATGTTTGTGTGTGTTCATAGAAACATTATTCATAATAGCCCCAAACTGGAAACAATCCAGCCGCTCTTTAACTAATTAATGGATAAACAAATGTGATATATCCATACAATGGAATGCTACTTGGCAATGAAAGGGAATAAAGTACTGATACATATGTGGAAAAATCTTAAAACTATTATGCTAAGTGAAAGAGCCAGACACATAAGACGATATATTGTATGATTCCATTTATATGAAATGTTGGAAAAGACAAAACTATAGAGATAGAAAGCAGATCATTGGCTGCTGAGGGCTGGAGATTGGGAATTGATTGCAAACAGGCCTGAGGAATGTTTGGAAGTGATAGAAGTATTGTAAAACTGGATTTCAGTGATATTTGCACAACTCTATACATTTACTAAAACTCATAAAATGTAAAATGGATGAATTAATGATATGTACAGTAGGTGTTAAAACAAACATTTTAAAATGTGTTCATAGTCTTTGTATTTTTTAACTGGAGCATTTAGTTCATTTACTCACTTCATAATTATACATATATTTGGATTTTTCCTATCATTTAAAAAATTTATTTATTTTTAAATAAATTTATTTATTTAATTAATTTATTATTTTTTGGCTGTGTTTGGTCTTTGTTGCTGCACGCGGGCTCCCTCTAGTTGTGGCAAGTGGGGCCCACTCTTCATTGCAGTGCGCAGGCTTCTCATTGCAGTGGCTTCTCTTGTGGAGCACGGGCTCTAGGCGCGTGGGCCTCAGTAGTTGTGACACATAGGCTCAGTAGTCGTGGCTCGCAGGCTCTAGAGCACAGGCTCAGCAGCCGCGGTGCATGGGCTTAGTTTTTCTGTGGCATGTGGGATATTCCCGGACCAGGGGTCGAACCCATGTCCCCTGCATTGGCAGGTGGATTCTTAACCACTGAGCAACCAGGGAAGTCCCTCCTATCATTTTATATTGTGCTTTCTGTCCTGCCTTTTCTATATTTCTTTTCCCCCTCCTTTCTTACCTTTCTTTGGATTATTTTTTTTCCTAATTCCATATTTCTCTCTCTATTAACCTGAAGTGATACGTTCCACTGCTGTTTTATAATAGTCACCCTAGAAATGTCAACATACATACTGACAAATCAAAGTCTAGAGTTAATAGTGTTGCCCTTTTCTTGAACAACATGAGGAATTTAGAATACATTAACTATAATAACTCCCTGCTTTTATATATATATATATATATATAAAATATGTATTTGATACTAATGTTGCAGTTTTTAACCCCACAAGACATTTTTATTACTTTATACAGTTTAATATATATCTGACTACCCGCATATATACTATGTTTTGGCTGTCATTCTTTATTACATCTCAGACTCTACATCCATGATATTTGTCTCAAAAATTTTTTTGTAATTAAAGGTTATATATTGTAGTGATTAAGAGCATGACTTCTAGAGCCAAACTGCTTTATTTTTTAGACTATTTTTAATTTATGCTTTAAAGATAGAGAAACTTAAGTAGAGGGTTATCCAGAACCATGGCCAGGGTCACATCTAGTCAATGGCAGAGGCAGGATTTGAACCCATGAAGACCTTATTTTAAACCCAGTGGCATCCCCTCCATTGTGAAGGGCTTCTGATAAGCCATAGTGTAAGAAGTCCATTGGTGGCACAACAGACCAGAGCCCTTCTTCTGTCAGCAAGTTGTATGCAGAAGTTCAAATCCCTCTCAAGCCTTGAGGCTCTTGAAGTTCATAAATAACTCCTCTGAAAAGATTAAGCAAATCACAGGTGACCTGAATTTCAGCCTTATGAATGCTTATAAAATAAATTTCTCTGTGTTTCTTGCACCATTATCTTGCTATAGGTAACTAGAACTGTCTTGCAAAATTTACAGGACAAGACTTCTTCCATGTATATCCAGTTCTGTGTCTGGACTCTCTTCAGCATGCTGCATTTATTCCTAGGCAGACCAAGAACAGACCCTTGCTCTGTAAAGCAAAGCATTGAATTTTCCCCAATATAAAGTCATTTAGATGTTGTTAAGCCTCAGGAGAGATTGCATGATGGAACTGTTAAATGCTAGAGAGATTTTGAAACTATTTCTGGTGGAGCGGGTTCTTTCAGAAGTGTGGTTAACACAGAGCAGTCTTCCAGGTCTTCTAGGTTTTCTACTATCTCTATAAGCCTTTCTACAGTATGGCAGGACAGCATCCTGCAGGCATTGGCTCTGAACTTTTCCTGTAGGTCTTTCTGGCTCAGAGGCTTCCTCCAGTGACCGTAGAAGGTATCAGAGCGCTCTGTGAAGATGGCTCCATCCTTGAGGGCAACACTTATCTCGCAGTAGAGGGTGTTGAAATTTGGTAGGTTGTCCTGAGGGTGCTCCAGCTCTACCTTACCAAGCAACTCTCTTACCCGTGGCCTGTTGACCTGGTGTTTGTGGAATGATGAGACAGTGATGGCACCATCCAGCAGCATGGCGCAGGCCGCATACTGGAAGGAGTGTCGGGCCTCATGCTGTGAGTCTGGGAAGGGCCTGTTCACATACTGGACATCTGGAATTCTAAGCACAATTCTCTCCATGTGGTCAGTGGGAAGCAGGGCTCTGTCTCTTACAAGCTGTTTTCTCACAGATGCAGCTGCATCTGCCACCCAGTGTGTGGCCAGATGGGCAGGGAAAAGCTTGAAGGCCACATCCTGCTGGTCCAGCAGCCAAGTGTGTGAATCTACGTCTGGAAGGATTTTGGGGGCATAGTTGGCATAGAAGGCCCCAAACCCTGACTCCATGTCCAAGACCTGTTTGTTTCCCTGGAGACCCAGCATTGCCAGAAAAGCAGCTTCTAGCCCATGCCTGGCGGCATTGCCGACGTGAAGAGGCTTGGTCTGAGTGGCGGCATTCGCCATGGGTGCCCCAGCATGAGAAACAGCAATAGCACAGGCTCCGGACGCGCAGGCTCAGCAGCCATGGCTCACGGGCCCAGCCGCTCCGCAGCATGTGGGACCCACCCGGACCGGGTCACGAACCCGTGTCCCCTGCATCGGCAGGCGGACTCTCAACCACTGCGCCACCAGGGAAGCCCTGGCTGCGATTCTTAATCACATGACTTGGCACTAGACAGGCTGTCTTCTGTCCAGATCAGGTGCGACCTTGGGGAGCAGCTAGTGAACCACAGGGAGCTTGGCTCTTACTCAGGTGCCACAGCCCTTGGAAAGATCTTTATCTACCTTACAAACAAAGCTGTAGAATTAGGTGGCTGTTCCTCCCTTCCTCCCTCTTCCACCTTTCAAACAAGTCACATGAAAAGTTTAATGTCATTTATTCCACATCAGACCATATTTTTTGAACCCTTTTATTATAAATAATTTCAAACTTATGGAGAAGTTGCAAGAACTCTTGAACCCAGTTTAACTATTAAGCTATATTTTAAAATCATTTGGTTTTTCCTTATACGAAATAGTGATAACCAGAAGTTCATTTAAAGATAGGTTTTTGTCTACTAGTTGTGGCTGGTGCCTTTCCCACTGCTTACTTACTGGATGCTTACTTCGGAATGCACCATTAGGTTTGACTTTCAATATTCTGAACTGTCCCATAAACCATAAAAATATCTCAGAAATCCCAACAGATTCATGTCCAAATTATACCTTTTAGACTGCCCGTGACACACAGAAAAAGCATAAAAATTGTCAGATGAGAAGTGCAGATTTTCGACTCAGAAAATGTAGACACCTTATGGCCATTGTTCCTTTCTCAATAAGTATCTGTTGAATGAATGAATGAATGAATGAAAGGCTGGTTACTGGATAGAAGCTGATACTGCCCACCACAGAAAGAACTGACAAGGAACTGAGTCTGGATATTTAGTTTAGAGTTGAGATACCTTAGGGACATTTTTGTCTGAATACTTCCTTCTTATTTCCTCTACTTCACAATTTGTTTGAAAAGCATCAATTCACTGTAAAAACGTGAAAACTGAAATTACTACAAGGAGAGAGGGCAGGCCCCTTCACCTCCCTGAACTTCAGTGATCTCATCAGTAAGATATGGAAACTGGGCAATTTCTGAGATGTTTTCTGGCCCTGAAATTGTTCTGATTGTTGAACAGTTACAAAGACATGGAAATCTCCTTACAGCCACACTGTTAACGAAAGCAGCATATGTCGGTGGTAGCCTGAAGTCTGGCTGGCCCCAAACAGTGCTGGATACATTGGAACTATAGATCTGAAACAAAAGAGTATCAATCAGTGATACAGAGTGTGAACCCAACATGCCAAGTCACCATTTCAAGAGTTGTTCTTCATGTTTGGAGGCATTACTTTGATACTTCTTATTGAGCCCTTTGTGCTAGACTGAAGCCCTAGTCATTGGATTTCTTTCTTCCTTGTAGAAGAATATATAACTTTTTCTGTGGAAGGGAGAGGAGAAGCTGTTGCTCAGTCCCAGACTGTGATCCATAGTGCACCAAGGAATGAAGTCTGAATTTACTCTTATTTATTCCTTGAGGATAAATACTAGGAAAGGTGGACTCATCGTCTATAGACCAAGCATATTCTTTGGAGAGTGGATGCTACATCTCTCATGTAATCACCTACTCTCTGCTCAGGGTGCTGGCCCAGGCTTTTCTCCAGAGAATCTTGAAGTCTTTGCATGAACAAATGGGCTGGGGCAATGGCTGCTAAGACTCTCAGGTAAAAATGTGCTTTCAGTCAGACTAGTAATCAACTTTGAGGTTTTGCTAGCCTTAAGATTAAGACTGGTCTTAAGATAGTGACTTAGTAGAGGGTGTGGGTGAATATTAAGACTCAGGTAATAAAGCATAGAAAAGCATAAAACTATATACAACAATGCTATATACACCAAGCACTATCTCTAAAATGAAGAGTAGGGCGGTAGAAAACAAACGCACGTCCCTGGGCATGCTTCTGGGTACACCTCACAAAAAGGCGCATGTGCACACTTGGTTTTAGCTCCAAAGTAGACATTGAGCTTCTTACTTTACTGTATTCCCTGGCTTTTTGGAACACTTCTGTACTGGTTCCCAGGAACCCAACACCCTGGGTATCCAGAATCATCCTCTTGCTCCTCTGGATAACACGATCTGTCAGGTGTCCCACTTTCAAGCCGTGGATCACTTTGGCAAAGCTTTCTGTGACAGACTTTAAAGGGAAGAGTGTTAGAACAATGCTTCACTCACTCTGTATTCACACACTTCCTTTCTACATGAGAACTGGAGGTACTTTTATGCAAAGACTTTATACTCCACTATAGGAAACGCAGTTGGTTAAATTAAGTTCAGTTCCTAAAAAATGATGTGTACTGGGCTTCCCTGGTGGTGCAGTCGTTGAGAATCTGCCTGCTAATGCAGGGGACACGGGCTCGAGCCCTGGGCTGGGAGGATCCCACATGCCACGGAGCAACTAGGCCTGTGAGCCACAACTGCTGAGCCTGCACGTCTGGAGCCTGTGCTCCGCAACAAGAGAGGCCGCCATAGTGAGAGGCCTGCGCACCGCGATGAAGAGTGGCCCCCGCTTGCCACAACTAGAGAAAGCCCTCGAACAGAAACGAAGACCCAACACAGCAAAGATAAAAAAATTAATTAATTAAAATTCACTGACCAAGGTCATGCAACAAATAAGTCACAAATCCTTCCCAAAACTTAAAAAAAAAAAAAAATGATGTGTACTGAACACATGTGTGAGGCAGAGGGATGTGGAAATGAGCGATAGCCAGTTTCTGTCCTCAGTCCAGTGGAGGACACAGAGTAGCAAGCAGATAATGTGTGCTTGGGTGGTGGGCTCTGGTGGAGGCACGCAGAGGCTCAGAGGGGGAGCAGGGGAGGGACGTCTCACCCACCATGTGGGCACGCCTGGGCGTGGGGTGCATTCAGACAGGTAGGAGCTGGCACTGGTAGACACGTGCCAGGTGTTGAGCTGAATGTTTTAAATACAGTGTCTACTTAATACTCACTGGGCTCTAGGTATGTATCGTGAGTTTCTTTCTGCAGGTGAGACCAAGACCCAGAAAGGTGAAGTCCCCAAGTCACACAGCTGTAACTTAGTTAGTCTGGACACAAACCCCTGTAGGTCTAACTCCAAAATCGATGCATCTAGCTCTTAAGCCCCCATTTCCTGAGGAACACATACATCAGAAACCTGGATTTCTTGCTGAGAATGAACATTTCTGGTTCTCCATCCCACACCTCCAGAATTAGACCCTTCTCAGAACCAGAACATTAGGAAGCTTAGTACAGGGTTCTAGGTTTCCATTAAGCTCTCTAGGTGATTCCTAAGTGATTCCTAAGATAGCTGTAGTGCTGTCATGTCCAATGTGGTAGCTACTCTCCACATCTGGTGATGGAGCACTACATGTGACTAGTCCAAACTGAGACGTGTCATCAGAGGAGAATAAACACTGGGTTTTGAAGACTTAGTAGGAAAACAAAGGAATATAAAGCATTTCATTAATAATTTTAAAATATTAATTACATGCTGAAATTGATAATATTTGGGGTACATTGGTTAAATAAAATATATGATTAAAATTCATTTCATCAGTTTCTTCTTTTTTTTTTTTGCGGTACGCGGGCCTCTCACTGTCGCAGCCTCTCCCGTTGTGGAGCACAGGCTCCGGACACACAGGCTCAGCGGCCATGGCTCACGGGCCCAGCCACTCCGCGGCATGTGGGATCTTCCCGGACCGGGGCACAAACCCGTGTCCCCTGCATCGGCAGGCGGACTCTAAACCACTGCACCACCAGGGAAGCCCCATCAGTTTCTTCTTACTGTTTTACAATATGGCTACTGGAAACTTTAAAATTACACTCGAGAACCACTGCCTGCTCTTTCTGTTGGTGGAGACTTGCTGGAGGAGTAGATACCTGAGCTGCTTATGAAAACTTCTGGGAGTCAGCCAGACGAAGGTGCTGAGAATGAAGATGGAGGTTAAAGGCAGAGGTAGCAGCATGGGCTGGGGCTTGGGGGTGTCGGTGCGGGGCGGTGCCGTGAACTGGGCAAACTCCAGCCGCAGGGCTGCCCGCAAGGGGCAGAGATGACAGGGAGAATGGATTTGCAGGCCAGGGCCGAATGGTGAAAGTGATATTATGCTAAAGACTGTGACGTCATCAGGGAGCCATAGTAGTGCTGTCTTAAGAGAGGAAGAGGCGTGATCAGAACTGTGTTTTGCAAAGATCTCTGTAGGTACTCATGTAGAGAATGGATGGGGAGGGGTAGACAGGACAGGTAAGAGACCGACGCCACAGGTTCTGGATGGGGAAACGGCAGTGCCATTTGCCGTGAGAGGGAACACAGGAAGAGGAGCAGACTTCTGGGCAACGATGCTGGGCTCATAGTGAACTTGTTGAATGTGAAGTGCGTGTGGGCATCCTAGTCGAGAAGACCTTATGTTTCTACCCACAAACCAGATAAAGAGCATGTCTGTTACATAGTTAAAAACATCCTTTCATGTTTCACTATACGCCTAGCACTTGGTACCACTTAGTAAATGTTATGTCGCTTCCCTTCCCTGCTCTGATTATTGCGTCATTATACAACTTCTTTGTCTCTGTGAACATCAGATAACTCATTTTAAAACGTGAGCTATAGGATGGGGGTGGGGGCTTGTTGGATAGAGGATCTGGGGTGTCTGGGGCTCTCTGACGCTAAGCTCAGTGCAAGAGCAGAGGTGCAAAGATAGAACCAGTTCCCAGCTGAAAGTCCTTCAACCTGGCCACCGACTAGTCGACTTGTCCTATATTTTCAACCCCTAGGCTGTCAAGCCAGGGAAACCTTGCCGTTTGTGAAACAATGGGTTGCTTTTTATGTCTGTGAAGCTTTGCTAGAACAATGAGAGGAGGCTGACGTGGGAGGAAGCAGGAGAGGAGATGGTTGGAACAGAGAAAGGGGTGTGGGATTCAAGTTTCAGGTTAGGGTGGAGAATAACAGTAACTTGGATTTTCATGTGGCTAGAAATCTGGGTAAACATTTTAGGGACAGAGAAGGGAAGGAGGGAAAAGAACTGGCTTGATGATATGCCAACTAAAACTTAGAGATTCAAGCACTGGTTGGATCCTTTCTTATAAACAAAACTACCTGTTTTTGACCTCTCTTCCCATCCCCACAGTTCCCACAGTGGAGGCAATTAATGATGGACTGTTCATCTCTTCAGGGTTAGATCTGACCTGGGAGTGCCTTCTGGGGCAACGTGTATGCCTGGGGAGCATGTATTTGCAGGGCGCCACCATGGAGCGCGAGAGGTGATTGGGGCATCCATCCACACGATCCCACGGTGCTAGTGACTTCTGAAAGTAGGGCCTCAATGGACCCCCTGAAAAGTCCTGAACACCACCCCATGTGCCAAAGAGCAAACAGCCTCCTTCTGGCCCCTGAGGAAGGGAACAGTAGGAAATAAGCATGCAGCTGCTCAGCTGCCTTTAGCCTTGTGCCCATCTATTTCTAAAATATCTTTTTGGTCTTCTTGATTTTTCTCCTGGCATTTACCTCTGTTCTTAGTAAAATACTATGATTAATGTATAAATTAAGGTGAAATATGCAGTTATTTAATAAATATTTCAGGAGTTCTTGTTATGTGTCTGCCCTGTGCTAAGCACTGTAGAATACCAAACCGAGATGTTATGGCTCTCACCACAAAAGGCTTATCTTCCCCAGGGCACTAAGGACAGTAGGCAGATAATTAGAAAAGCAATCTGACAATGCCATAATGGATACATGCCAAACAAGAAGGTTAAAATCCTATGAACTTATAATGATTCATTTTCTTCCTGATTTTATACCAGAGAATTGTGTCTATTCTTGGTAAAACATTGATAAAAAAAAGCAAGATGCAGTTAATTAGACCACCCAGAGGCTATGAGAAATATTAAAATCACATTTTTAAAGTAGAAGCAGGTAGCTCTTTAAAGGAGAGGGCAACTGAGGAAATCGAGAAGAAAAGGAAAGCTAGAAAAACCAATTTAAATAAGCCACATAAAAGGAAACAATACCTTGAGCATCATGTTGTTCTAAAGAGGAGGTCTGTCTCAGGAGTGAATTGGGGAGAAATTTCGTTGCTGTCTGTCTTTATACTCCTCTCTTCTCTCAAACTCACTCTCTTTCACTTTGTTCTAACTTGAAAATTTCCACCATTTCAACACCTCCCAGCTAAACTTACTTCAACTTCCTCTGCCATGAGTTGTTTAACTTACCAGTAAACTAAATAAATAAACCTAAGAAGCACGGGAGCGATGATCATATGATTCCTCACAGATATAAGAAAAGTGCATTGATGGCAAAACTAGGCTTGCATCTTGTGGGCTTCCCTGGTGGTGCAGTGGTTAAGAATCCGCCTGCCAATGCAGGCGACATAGGTTCAAGCCCTGGTCCAGGAAGATTCCCACACGACGCGGAGCAGCTAAGCTCGAGCGCCACAACTACTGAGCCTGTGCTCTAGAACCCGCGAGCCACAACTATTGAAGCCTGTGCACCTAGAGCCTGTGCTCCACAACAAGAGAAGCCACCCCCGTGAGAAGCCCGCACACCGCAGCGAAGAGTAGCCCCCGCTCACCGCAGCTAGAGAAAGCCGGCGTGCAGCAACAAAGACCCAACACAGCCAAAAATAAAGTAAATAAAATAAATAAATTTAAAAAAACAAAAACAAAGAAAAAAACTAGGCTTGCATCTTGTGCCTAGACGCCATATGTCAAAATCAGAAAAATATTCACACCCTTTTATCTAGGTATTCTACTTCTAAAAATTTATCCTAAGGAAATAGACATGGATTTATGGGGAAAAATTAGCAAATGAAATAAAATAAAATTCATAGACTTACTTACAATATTAAAAATTGGAAAAAATCAAATGCCCCCCCAATAGTGGCTTGGTTAAGTAAAATACGGCATGTACGGTATTTAAGGTACACTCTCATTTTTCCCTTCCATTTCACATCTGCTAGTCACCATTGTCAAGGGACAAAAGTACCAGAAGTTTCTGGTAGCTTACGATTAAGAACTTAGAAGGGCATTGGGCATTAATCACACTTCTTCTCAGGTGTTCCTTGATCTGTTCCTGAACTGCATTTTTTCAGTATATGCAGATCTGTGGTTGCTGGTCCTCTGCCGGGCTTCTGGGATCTATTGCCTGCCGCCCTGCTGTTGTCCAAGTGGGCTTCAACACAGCTTGTCCAAGCCTTTTTGTTTATAATCAGTCACTGTGGGTTGGCTAGTCTGAATGCAGCTCTGGTCCTCTAGGGAATTGTGATTGCCCTTGGGCTGTCTAGTCCTGGCCAACTGGTTTGTACTTACAGTGGGTACCAACAATCAGGTTATTTAAAATTTGAGCTTGTTCCAGGTGTAGTGGCAGAATTCTTCTTTGAGGGGGGATTGTATTTTAATTTTAGAGGAAGTCTCCAGGAGCCTTGTGGCTCTACCCCCATCCTGTTACAGAAGGGAGAGTTTGAGACAAAAAGAAACTAAATGGCTCTGCATAAAAATGCAAAAGGCTGTCTTTCTTGTGGTCAGACAGTACCTCTAGGAGAAGAGGTTAGGTGGTTTGCTTCTCTTTGTTGGAGCCTGTGAAGAAAGAGTCTGGGGCTCTGGAGACAGGGTCAAGGGTAGGGTCGGTGGGAATCCCCGTGGATTGTTGGGGGTGATACCCTGGTATAAGTCAGAACTACACACAGGTGAGGGGTGAGGCTGGAGGTGGGGAGGTGGTCAGTGGGGACCCCCATGTGGAAGGACTTAGGCAGACAGATTTAAGGAGCAGTGGAATCAAATATCTACTTTGAACTTTTTCTTTACAATATAATAATTGTTTGTCATCCTCAGGAAAGTTTGTTACATAGTACAACCTAGTGTCAGCCATGCTTTGGGGAGTGAAGGCAGGGCGGTTGTTTGTGCATAAAGAAGGCTGGGGGTACCAGTCAGAGGGAGAAGTGACCGGCAGCAGACTGGGGGTGGAGGTACTTTTTGGTTATCCTAAGTAGTAGAAAAGTCAAAAGAAGGGGGTCTGATTGTACCTAGTTGAATGGTACAAGAAAGAGGGACTTGAAAGGATGACACTGGGGGATGTTTGGATTCTCTTCTTAAGCCAACTGTGGCCTGAGGCGGGCTTCCCAACCATGGTCCAGATTGGGGAAACCCAGAGCCAGGCTCAGTATTGGCACCCACATTGGTTGTGGGCAACAGGGTACCATTTCAGACAATCTGTTTTAGATCAGTGGACTCCAAACCCAGGTTCCAGTGGACGGGTGAATTTCTGTATCCAAAAGTAAAATGAATATTTGGGAATAGGGAGCAAGTTGGGTATTTGGGGCCATTTGGATAGACTCCAGCAAGTAAGAACAATCGTACTGTAAGATTTTGTGATTTATTGGTAGATAGTTTACATAAATTGGTGTTAAGAGTAATCTCATTGAGTTGAAAGGAAACAGACATCTAGTTTGAAAAACACTCAAAATAGAACTCTCTAAGAATTATCTCAGTTGGGAGTTCTGGAGTTTTCAGCTTACTTAGATATTTAGAGACTCCTAAGACCACTTCTACATGAAAGTGAAGAATGGGCTATGCTGGCTTCAACCGCCTCACCATGGAAAAACTTTATAAAGTGATGATGAGCTTCATCAACTCTGATGAGCTTTGATGGAAGTGCTGTCATGTAGCGTCTCTGGGCTCTCACTTTTTGTCAATATTGAATTCGAAGACGCTTTAGTTCAATTATTTGCTTGCTTAATTACTTTGTGCTTTTATGGAACTGTGACCAATTTAAAGACTAAAAGCCCTCTGTAATTAGAATCACTTTCTAACTATCTAGGGGCTTAAATGATAAATTGTAGATTGACCGGCACCTCTCTAATCAAAAACAATTGATGGCTTCCAGTTGCCTCCTTGCTCCTAGCTCTAAGTAGAAGCCAGATTATTTTTAAAAGCAAATTTGATCTTCCGTCACTGTCTGGAGGGGAAGCAGTGTAGAGAGCAGTCCCATGAAGGCCCACGTGGGGTGGAACTGAAGCCTCCTGCTAATGGTGGGTTTGGGTGAGCATCTTTCCATAGCAAGCCCAGTCTTCAGAGACCTGGCTGGCAACTTAACTGCAACCTCCTGAGAGACCCAAAGCTATGCCTCCCAGCTAAGCTGCTCCAGGAATCCTGACCCTCGGAAACTGTTAAGATGATAAAGGTTTGTTCTTTTAAGAGGAAAAGTCTTGAGGGTAATTTGTTACACAGTAATAGATGATACAAACTCCAACCTGTTAATATGCCTTGCACGGGACCTTAGGATCAGACCTGAGTTCTCTCTTCATTCTCACATTGGGCCACCCAAGGGGCCAAGATCTTCATGCCTTAGGGACCTTTGTACCAGTGGTTCCCTCCCACTTCTTGTGTCTTCTCCCCACATCATACTCCTTTCTTCTCCCCTCACCCCACAACTTTCTTCTCCTCATCTTCCATCTAAGTCAGTGGTTCTTAGCCGGAGATGAGTTGTCCCCCAAGGGACATTTGGCAATGTCTGGAGACATTCACCAAGTTGTGGCATCTAGTGGGTAGGGCCCAGGGATGCTGCTAAACATCCTACGATGTGGAGAACAGCCCCCTACAACAACAAATTAATTGGTCCAAAATGTTAATGGTATCGAAGTTGAGAAACCCCTACCTAAGTGTAGAGGTTACATCTAGGAGGCCTCCAAAACATGTCAAGTTTAGGTCAGCACGCTCACCTGCATGTACCTATAGGGCACAAAGTTTCCCTCTTTATATTCCTTATTAGATAGGGAAGTTCTGTTTAGGAAGGGAACTGATATACCCCATTGATCACTACATCCAGAGTCTCACACATAATAGGTGCTCAGTAAATTTTTGTTGAATGAATTAATGGAAACCCAATGCTTTCTATAAGTCAATCATACTAACACATGAATGAAATTTAATCCTTCTTTATTCCCAGTGGAAATGTGTCAGGAAGGTATTCTTTATAATGTCTGTGGTTTTATACTACTGTGGAGTGCTGGTCTGCCAGCAAGTAGAATACAATGAACAGATCTTTCTGTTTCTCTTGACAACAGGAGGTCCACCTATTCGGGATGGCTTGTGAACATGAGCTATCAGAGTAAATCAGGAATATTTGAAACAACAAATGAATTTAGACTATTTCTAAAAAGGAAAAAGCATTTAATACAGTCAACTTTGCCCAGAATAGCTGATTTCGCATATTTGAATTTCGGTTTTCCTTTTTCTGCTTTGCCCTTCCTGTGTAGTCTGATGAGTCAATCTCCAGATTGTAATTACTAAGTTTCATTTCTGGGGAACGCTTATGTTTTATCAGAGAGCACAGTGGTAGCAACCAGGGTTCCTTCCCCTGATTAGTTCTTTGTTAGTTCCTTTGGGATATTGAAACATACTTACCATAAGAACGTTTTGTAAAGGAGAAAACTTTGGGGTAAAGTGTATTTAATTTCCTTAAAACAGCACCACAGTGATAACAGCCATCAAAATCTCCAAGCCTTACGCCATTATCTATCTGCCATTGTTCTGGTTCCATTTTCCCCAGGCCCTAGACAATAAGATAAAACCAAATTTTAACGTGAAAACTTCAGTAAGACATCAAGAGAGAATGTTTTAAAGCAATATTTAAGAGAATGTCTCACAGAGTCAATGGTTACCTTGTGTATATGTTCTTTATATGTTCTCTCTCTGTGTGTGTATGTGAACTTTTTACCAACTTATTAAATTTTGGATGGAATTTTGAAAGTGCTCAGGAAGGAATTAGGTTCCTATGAAGTGAGGACTTCAAAATAGCAAAGGAATGTGTGGCTGTAAAATCATCGCTTCAATATAATTGACTCAGCATAATTTTTTGTGAAAACATTTTTCCATTTGTGGAAGCTGAGGGTGGGTATAATTTATCCTCTAAAGCACTCTACCTCAAAGAAAAGTATTGTTTGTAGCTTTTCTCATAAGCACAAAATAGCTTGTTAATATTTCTTAGTTAACTCGTAAATGCTGAATGATTATCCACAGGCTGTATTGCTCTGCATCAGATGTTGGCAAAAAGAAGAATAAAATGGATGGATGCCTTATCTGAAGAAATCTGGCAGACATTTAAAAAATAT